ACCATTCAGTCCACCAAATTTTACACTCGTTCACTCGATTCAACAATCCAACTAATAAAAATGCTGTCAAAACGAATAGATCAATCACTTTTTTTTGACTGAAGGTTCAACGAAGATGGTGCACTGCCGAATTTCATACGTGAAACTGAAACGAATTCATCGTGTCCATGTAAAGAGGAACAAGCGAAATTGGATATTGGTCGTTTCATGCCTCATCCCAGATGCTCTCAGGTCAGTTTTTCGACGGAATGAATGAATTTTGCTGATTACTTGTTGAATGAACACGTCTATCGCGGGTTGACGTAGATAACTAATCGCAATTCGACAAATAGGCCATTTATGCTTCATCTCGCAGAATATAACTACAGTTTAGTGATTTCTATAGATGTTCCGAGATGTGACGTGCACTGAGACACTCGGCTCGAGAAACTGCTATATGAGTGCACAAAACGTTCAAGGAGCATACTACGATAGTAGTTTACCGGTTGGACATGAAAGGTTTGACATACTTCACTTTTGCTTTAAGCATTCTCCTGATTTTAACTTTCAGAATGAAACCGAAATTATTGCTTAAAATATTTCGCTGGAGCGAGGAATTACATAACCAGTGATATGAAGGGTTTTTTTTGGCAAATATGTATTAACTGGATTACCTGGATTGACCAGGCTATCAAACGTTTGTAACGTTGCTGGCCACAATGCTCAGTTCGCACTGTTTTAGCCTTGCAGTCAAAAGCAAATATGTGTAATTTACAAAAAAAATTTTGAATAACTTTCATCGTTTAGTTCATACTCAACGCATTATGGACAAGTGTGTTGCTACGATGATCAAGGGTATTTGATGCAAACCAGTTATCAGCCAGTCATTCAAATCGATGAATCTACGCCCTATAGTCCTGGCTTTCCGATGCGAGCCTATGAGTTCGGCACGCGACCTTATCAAGGAATGTTTGAGGTATGCTAGCTGAGCATAACTTTAAGCCTATTTCAGCTATCTGATCCTCCTTTATTTGCAAGTTTTGCTCGTCAAGTCACACAAAATTGGTACTCTTACTGAATCATGTTGTTCGGATTAGCGTTCCACAATGAAGTTTCAAAAAATAATTTCAGGTGCCTGGTCTGAGCGCATTTCATCACGACACCATGCCATATTATTTATGCTGTAAATATTCAGACTTTCGTTGTCAAATGTTCTACTGGCGTAGACCATCGAGTGCTTGTCAACAATATCAGCCCGCTGCGATCGGTTCGTCAACTGCAAAAATATCACGCTTTCTTCACTTCACGCATTATTCGACCAATGAATAAATAATATATCAGTCGCAAAGTCCACCAGATT